GCATCTCACAATTGAGCCTAACTCCATCCAAGAATGGAGCCAGAAGGCAGACCGAGGTTTTCCTTGTACCCATGGAGATCAGAATGGGATTCACAACGGCCATTTTTAGGGACAAGTGTGATTAGTTGACACCATTAAAGGTGCTGTGACTAGCTCATAGTTAAGTGAAACAGTGAGCTAGTAACACCAGTCACTCAGACTGCATGCACTCTGAGGAGAAAGCAACTGGCCTGGGCTGTAGGAGAATCCAGACACTGCCAGAGAGACTGAAATACTGCTATATAGTCCTTTATATGTGCACAGGTAAGAAACAGACCCTGGAGAATGAGAAATAAACTTAAAACACTGAACTATACCTTGTTGTTGTTAAGTGCCGTTCAGTTGGTTCCAACCCACAGTGACCCTGTATAGGGTTTCTGAGGAGTAGCTGGTGAGCTTGAACAGCCAACCCTGCAGTTCAAATGGCTTTGAAGCCTGGCCCATTAACCCACAGCGCCACACCAGGACTCCTTGTGGTTAATAGCCCAGTGCCGTCAAATCAGTTCTGATTCACAGAGACTCTGTAAGCATTTTCAAGAAGCGGCTGGTGGGTTTGAACTTTCAACCTTAAGTTAGCAGTCCAGTGGTTATGCTACAGAGCCACTCCAGGATTCCATACCTGAGAGTAGATGGGGGTGGGAAAATGCTAATGAACTATTTTATAACTTGTTAGAAACCTCAGCGGGAAAGGAGAACAGGACAAACCCAGTGTCATTTTTTATAACAAGATTCCCAGAGGCAGTGGGGCTAGAAATGATGTCCAGCCAGATGGTGAAGATTCTCCAAGTTGCTGGGAGGACCTTATCAGGAGCCACAGGGGCCACACCCAATGCATGGTTGCTGATAGGCGAGGGGAGAATGAGAGGGAGGAAGAAGGAAGGGTGTTTTTTGTATCATTTAAATATATCTCAAGTTTCAGGAGGGAGACTTGCTTCTTCTCCAGGTAAATTTGCATAGGTGGGAGGATGTGTCCTAATATGGCACTGCCCACAGCTCCGGATATGCAAGGGAATGCTTCTTGGAGAGAGGTATCAAAGTGAGGAAGGGAAGGGCAGGCAGCTGAGCCCCACTCAGAACATAAAAAGGTGCAGAAAGAGCTTTAAATTATAGACAACAGACCACGGCTCTTAGAACTCAGGAAGGTTCCAGAAACAACGGTCCATCCATGTGCCTCACCCTCATATCCCCAACTCCATGTAATCAACCACACACGCTATCCACAGTCTTCCTGGCAGCTCAGCCTTGAGGAGTAGAAGGTGTGAGAGCAGAGTGAGGCTATGGCCACATGGCATGTGGAGGAAACTAGCCTAGTCACTTACCAAAGCCTGAGCAAGAAAGAGAAAGCCAGCATGGTATGGAGAAGAAACTAGAGAGGTTTAACTGCTGGAAGGAGTCCCTGGTAGTGCAAATGGTTTATGAAACTCACTACTAACCTAAAGATTGGTGTTTCAAGTCTACCCACAGGCATTTCTGAAGAAAAACCTGGTTATGTACTTTAAAAAAAATAACAATTGAAAATACTATGGAGCACAGTTCATACATGGGGTCACCATGAGTCAGAACGGACTAAATAGCAACTAGTTACTGGTTTAAATATTACTACACAGCATTTGATCTCTAGGTTGTTTTGAACCAGAAGATCGGTTGTTCAAACCCACCAGCCGCTCCTTGAAACCCTATATTGGGTCTCTGCCAACTAGACGGCACTTAGCAACAACAACAACAAAAGGACATTAGAGTTGCCTTGACTCTCTCAGCTCAGGAATATACCAAGTCCACCCCACCGATAGATCTGCCTCTACCACCCTGTGGATCTCATCATTGAGACCTGCTAACATCACCAACGCAGAAAATGCTAAGATGCGGTGTCACCCAGGGCACCATGTGATGCGATGCTTTCTTTCCAAATGGATATATACCTATTCCCCACTTTCAGCACAAAATTAACAAATAATTGGGGAGAATGTATTATTCTATTCTTCTTGACCATAAGAAGTGATTCACCCTAACCAAAAGCACAAGAATTTATCAGGGAAAATATTATTTTGCTCAATTGTGTGATAGTTGTTGTTGTTAAGTGCTGTCAAGTCAGTTCTGACCCATAGAGACTCATATAAGGTTTCCGAAGAACAGCTGGTGAGCTTGAACCACCAACCTTGCACTTCAAATGGCTTTGCAGTCTGGCGAATTAACCCACAGCACCACACCAGGAGTCCTAATAGTGTGGTAAGAAGAGCTAAAGACCAAATCCAGCTACTACTAACTAGCTGGGTTATTTTGGGCAAGATATTTCCTAACTCTGGACATGTGTCCTCTTCTGTAAAATGGAAATAATATATAATACTAATACTTGCCTCACAGGATAATGAGATCACATATGTAGAGGGTCAAACCTAGAGCCTAGAACATACCTAGCACTCAGTTAATGTGAAATGATTCTGATACACCTTAAGCTTTATAATAATTGTTACGACCTTAATAATGCTAGATGAGCATGGATCTGTCTTGACTCTGCCACTCAAAGGTTTGACATCTCTGCTTCATGACTGGTAAGTACTGAACCTCTGGTCTGCTGGGTTAAAAACAGTCTGTGTTTGAATGCACAAATTATAACGACAATTCCACAAATTCTTTTTTCTTTTTTTTTTTTTTTTTAGTGCCCAGTCTGAAGAAATTGGCATCTACAACTTACTTCATTAAAACTGGTTAAACCGGTTTGCCAGGCTGTGGCTGACATCTTGAAGTTGATGTTGCTCTGAAAACCTTCAGAGCAGGTCTTAGTGCTCAACAACTTCTCTGAGGGCAGGTACTCTGGGCAGGGTCCAAGAAGCAAGTGTCCAGTTAGGAAGGCCAAAGCACAGATCACCAATACAAACCAATGCCCAGTACCAAGGGCAGGCAGCACACCCAACTGAACAGTGATGGCCCTTCCTCAGGACATTCCAAGATCCCCAGTCACAGGGTTAGTTCTGTCAGGGCAGGGGGTGCTCCAGGACCCTGCTTTAATCTGATTGGTCAGTGCTAGGTGGCTGTGGTACCGAGGGGAGTTTATGAATCTGTGTCATCCCAGACAAGGAGGCAGGGCAGGCAGGAGAGTGACCTCCCATCCTCCTCTGTACAATGAGAGTAACACAGATCAGGGAGCCTCATAGGCTACCTGTTCTGCTGTCCATTCTGTTCCAGTGTGCCTGCCCTTAACTTTTCCCAGACCCACATTTTCTCTTCCAAATCCTAGGGCCCAACTTGCTCAGTCTCCACCCTCATTGCTATCTTATTCCCATCAGCATCCACCACTGAGTAGACATTGACTTCAAAGAACCAGCTCAACTTAAAACTAAGGATACAAGTGAAAGGACAGAGAGCTCCCTATAAGGCAATTTGAGCACATAGATTGTGAAACCACCCACAGCCCAGGCAAGGGCAGCCAACTGGGCCAGCACAGGACACTCACCCAACTGCCACCCAATACCCCCCACTCTCCCCACACACACTGGGTGTGGGGGGAGGCAAGGCTCTTTATTTGACTCAAACTAGGACAGCCTCACTCCTTAACAAACAAAGCCCAGAGCCTGAGACTGGGACATTGAGAATTTCTACTTTTAATTCTTTGTCTTCATTTTGTATCGTGATCAAATAACTCATCATCTACCACAGATTTCTTCAAAATTAAAACAAGAACATGCAATTCTACAGCCAGTTAAGTCAATCAATGATTGATTAGCATTACAATGCTTGACAACCCTCTTTTTCTCTTTCTCTCCACCTGCCCTTTTTCCTTCATTCCTTCCCTCTTGACACATATGTATACACAGAAGTTTGGGAAGAAATCTTTAAGGTAGTTGCTATTGTCAGTCACTTTGAGAAGACACCAGAGATAAAGGGGCTGGCGAGCCAGCTTGTATAACTGCCTTAAAACTGTGATTTTTTTTTTAAAACCAGAGCTCTTTAAAAGTTCCTATTTCTGGAGGCCAGTACATGGATTTACTGTACAGCTACCTGGATTATACTTGCCAGTCAATCTTTGGAAACCCTAGATAGGTCAACTTGACAACACTGAACAACAACAACCTAGATTATGCACACCTTGTTGAACATCCATTGGTTGTTAAGTGCCGTAGGGTCTGTTCCGACTCAGTTACTCTATATAGGGTTCCCAAGGAGTAGCTGGTGGACTTGAACTTCCAAACTTGCAGTTGTTAAGTGTTGTCAAGTCAATACTGACCAACAGCAACCCCATATAGGGTTTCCAAGGAGTGGCTGGTGGGTTTGAACCGCCGACTTTGTGGTTAGCAGTCCAATGCTGATCCTACATTTCCACCACAACACAAAGGGAGGTGATATCCTCACCATGCCTTGTTCCCTAACAGATAAGTGATAAGACAACTTCTAGGGGACAGGAAATGTTCACTTGCTGCTAAGTCAATCAATAACCACAACTAATTTCTTTTCCTGAATAACAAACAGACTTCCCCATATTTCACATGAAAGAGAGAGAGAGAGGTGCAGCAATAGACCAGCTGTCCCATTAGTCCCAAACCCATAATGGAAAATGGGGAAAACAATTGAGCTGATAAGAAATTAAACACTTATGTCCTCTTTTGCATCTAAGAAACAGGCAGAAAAACAGTGCAAAGGGTAAAAACATTTAATATTTTGGGTTTTTAGCCAATGCTTTTCTCTAACTATTAGGCTTGAATGCCTATACAACAGGAAATCAACTCAAATACAAAAAATAAAGTCATGTGGAATTTTTGAAAACTGCTCTATGGTAGAAGCTACATCCTACTTGTTATAACAATAATTTTTTAAATTATGAAGTCTAAACTCAGCTCCGTTAGCACCACTCGTCTAACAGTAGAATGACATGTGAAGCAAGACTTGTAGGAAGTGGCCCACAGGGAAGAGAGGCAAGGCAGCTGCCTCCCCACACCAGTTCAGTCAGCTGTCTAGAAAACACTTACTTGGGCGTGCCTGTGGGCTTCCAGTACCTGCAGAAGAGGTGCTGACCGTCAGCGTTGATCAGCTGAGTGTGGTTCTGGTCCTGAACGCTAGGCAGGGTCTGCCTAGAACTTTCCTCCGGCATTCTGAAAGGATCTGTAAGTCCTTGAAAGAAAGGAGGATATTGTTCCAAGTCAGAAAAACCACAAAAACATATAGAGATGGAGAGGAAAGATTTGTTCAGCATCAGTAACATTAAACACACACACACACACACACACACAAAGCAGTCCAAAACCCCCCCAAAAACCCCATTTCAAAGATTTAAACATACATCTATTTCTTGCAAACCTCTACAAGACTGAAAACTCCCATTTGTTCTTACAAAAATGCTCACTTTATTTTTTAAGTGCCTCGTTACAGCTCTTTCCCCCTTCCCATCTGTGTTTATTTTAACTCATTTCAGGACACTTAATCTTAACGACTATTTTAGCTGTAATCAAGTGGAAATTATAGTCAATTCTATGTGTACAAAGACCCAGCTGCAAGAAGACCATCTATCTTAAAATCTCCCAGGAACAATTTCTTGGGGCACAATAATGAGGTGGATGGTACTCCGGTGATTTCTAGGGGTTGAAATTCCGAAGCTGCGATGACAAACCTGTATCCATCATGTCCTGGGTTTGCATTCCAGAAGGGCGACAGCCTGGGGAATCAGGCAAATAAGGGCTGTTCCCTCCTCTCGGCTGTCACAGGGCAGCATTCAAGCAGATCCTGAGCCCCTCTCCTAGCCTCCATCCCCTCCCTACCCTCCGCCCCTATTTCGGGTTTTCTGAGTGCTGAGCCAGGAGCCTGCCGCCAGCTCTCAGTGACAGCCGCTTAGGGCTCCCCGCCTTTCCCAAAGAGGGGCGCGGGCACTGGCGATTCTCCGCTACTAGTTCATTTCAGCACTTTTCCTAAACGAGTCGCGGGAGGTGCTTGGAGAAGGGAGGGGCTCGCGAGCCCGGCACCCACTGCCGAGGAAACTGGGAACCCGCTCCGCGCACACTGGCGGCACCTCGCATACGCACAAATGCGGGTCGCCGAGACAAAGTCACCCCCGAAGGTTCTGACAAACTTTCCTTCCTGCCTATCTCCGCCGGCAAAGGGAACAGAGCTCTGCGGCTGTCATGGGAAATGCCAAAAGAAAAATCAAGAGGATTGGCTCGGCGTCCCTGCTCAGGGGACTGTATGGACAGGAAAAATGGAGTGGATGGGAACAAGTTGATTTGGGGGCTGGTGCGAGGGAGCAGGGAGGGCGCGCGCGCACGCATACACACCCCGCGCGCTCTCACTCACGCGCACACACAGCCAGGCGCCGGGAGCGTAGCAAACGTGCTGCGGACCCGGGAACTGGGGACTGCTCGGCACTCGCGGGCGGGGCGGGGGCCAGGAGCCAGTTACCGGGGCCACGAGCACCGCAATCCGCGTCCCCCGAGCGCCGCGCGGTCCTCGTCTGCAGGGGGCCAGGGCCGGGCCGAGCTGCGCGCCGCCGTCTCAGTGGCGACTGGGCGCGGCGAGTGATCCGCCACTTTATCCCCGGGCCGGGCTCCGTGTCGGGGGCGGGCGGCCCGCGGTGGGTGGGGACACGCGGCCCAGCGGGCGGCGCGGGAAGGCGGCGCCGGGCCCACGTGTGCCGGGCAGCAGGGAGGCGCGCGGGGGTGCAACACACCATCCGCCCCAGAGAGCCACGGCCCGGGAAGCTGGGCGCTCCCGAGCGATCCTTTTCGTGTGAGGACACACCGCGCACCCGCGCGTACCCACAGCTCACGCGCACACAGACTCACACAGACCCACAACACCACACACACATAGACACATGCACACAGCCTACCATATATGCCTAAAACACACATAGACGCAAACACAGACGTCACATACATACACATAGCTCCAGGCAGAACCTCATACGTGCACACAAATAGCACACCATATACACCAGATGCACACACAGGCACATGCAAACACAGACACAATCACAAGCACACAGATACACAGAGAGACACACCACACCCACAAAGACACACACAGTTACATTGAGAGATACCCATGAACACATCTAGGCATACTCACACCACACATACACGGGAACTTGAGTTGAAGCACTTAGGCAGGTCACCAGGCCTTGAATGGAGGCTAAAAACCAAATGATTTCTTAGGAGCAGCCCTAGAATGTCCTGGCATGTCAGGCAACAAGTCTCTGAGCCAGGAGGCTGAGGGCCCTGCCGTAAAACCGGAGTGCTAAGTACACTGAACATTCTTGGGTTGCTATTTATTGAAAGGAGGATAGATAGATGGGATAGAGTTGCAAACCAAACCATTATTGGTGCAGCCATTATTTCAGAATTTCCTAGCTCCAAAAACAGTTAATTATTTTAAAAACTCCTATGGAGTTGTCCAGTCAGTTAGCTAGGTAGCTGTCTTCCAAATTTCTTGGCATAGATGGGTGAGCGCCTCCAGGGCTGCATCAGTTTATTTCAATTTGTATTCAGTCAATTCCTAGAGCCTTGTTCTTTGCCAATGTCTTCAGTGCACCTTGGATTTCTTCCTTCAGTATCATTGGCTCTTGATCATATATGCCATCTCTTGAAATGGTTGAACATCAACCATTTCTTTTTGGCACAGTGACTCTGTGTAGACCTTCCATCTTCTTTTGATGTTTTCTGCCAACTGATTGGAAAAGATTTGTGCCCATTCCAAAGAGAGATGAGTTAACGAAATGTGAAAATCATTGGACAATATCATATCACATGCAAGTAAAATTTTGCTAAAGATAGTTCAAAAACGCTGAAACAGTACATTGACAGGGAACTGCTAAAGGATCGAGTCGGATTCGGAAAAGGATGTGGAACGAAGAATATCACTGCTGACATTGGATAGATCTTGGCTGAAAGCAGAAAATACCAGAAAGATGTTTGTGTTTTATTGACTATGGAATGAAATTCAGCTGTGTGGATCATAACAAATTATGGGTAACATTTTGAGAAATGGGAATTCAATAATACTTAATTGTTTGTGGAACCTGTATATCTACCAAAAGGCAGGTATTCAAACAGAAGAGGATGTTGTTGTTGTTGTTAAGTGCTGTCGAGTCAGTTCTAACCCATAGCAACCCTGTATAGGGTTTCCAAGGAGCAGCTAGTAAGCTTGAACTGCCGACCATGCGTTTCAAACTGACTTTCTAGTCCAGCGCAACAAGAGGATACTACCTGGTTTAAAACTAGGGCAGGTGTGTGTAAGGGTTCTGTCCTTTCACAATACTTATTTAATCTGTATGCTGAGCAAATTATCAGAGTAGCTGGACTATATGACGAAGAATATGGCATCAGATTGGAAGAATACTCATTAACTATCTGCAATATGCAGGTGATACAACCTTGCCTGCTGAAAGCGAAGAGGACTTGAAACACTAATGAAGATCAAAGAATATAGCCTTCAGTGTAGATTGATGGTGAGTGCCCTTGACTCAATTCCAACTCATAGAGTTTCCAAGAGTGGCTGATGGGTCTGAACTGCCAACCTTGTGGTTACCAGTCCAGTGCTTATCCTACAGCACCTCAATGTGAATTGTTATTGTTGTTAAGTGCTGTCAAGTCAATTCTGACTCATAGCAATCCTATGTAAGGTTTCCTAGAAGCTGCTGGTGAGTTTGAACGTCCAACCTTGAGGTCCAGTGCTTATCCTACAGTGTTACACAAAAACTCTACCTTAACAAAGTTTATTTAATCATTCACCTATTGAAGGAAGTTAAGTTGTTTATAATTTGGGTTATTAGAAATAAAGATGCTATAAACATCTATGTACAGGATTTTGTGTGAACATGTTGTTGTTCTTAAACACCAACTCATAGCAACTCTGTATAGGGTTTCTGAGGAGAGCCTGGTGTTGCCTCATCAGGATTCTATTGTAAACACTGTTTGAAAATTATTGTTCATTTCCCAAGGACAAATGTACTGGAATGATATTGCATATTTTGTTTTTTTCTAGAGACTGCCAAAATGTTTGCCAATGTGGTTGTACCATTTTGTAGTTTCATCAGCAATGTTTAGAGATCCAGTTTCTTCACATCCTCACCAGCATTTGATGTTGTCATCATTTTTAATTTTAGTCATTCTGATAGCTGTGTGGGATATCTCAATGGGTTTTGTTTTGTTTGTTACCTTTTATTGTGAACTGAATGAAGATTTACATACAAGATGATCAGTTTTACATTCAACACATCATTCTCTTTGTTTCATCTCAATGATTGCAATCCCCTCCATGCCAAAGCAGTTATCCTGCTTCCTCCCTGTGGTTCCTATTTCCATTCTACCCACTTTTTTTTTTTTTTTGGCTTTTTTATTGTGAACTGAATGAGTTTACAGGGTAGATCATCAGTTTTACATTCAACAAATCATACTTTGTTTCATTGCAATGGTTACAATCCCCGCCATTTACCATTGTTGCTGTTATTGTTAGGTGCCATCGAGTCAGTACCAACTCATAGCAACCTTATGCACAGCAAATGAAACACTACCCGATCCTGGGCCAACCTCACTATTGTTGCCACGCTTAAGCCCACTGACGCTGCCACTTTGCCAATCCATCCTCTATTCTGCTCTTCCCCTCTTTGTTCTTAATGTACACATACCACACAGAAAATATATATTTGTTTAAATGTCCAAAGGGTACATTATGTAAGCCAGCCTCCTGCCTGCAAACACACAGCCATTCTCAGTCCATGGACCTAGAGCCCTCAGCTGCTCTATCTCTCTATGCCATCACCTCTGCCAACATCTCTGCTGTCACAGCTTTTCTGGTTAGGATTCCACACTCCACTCATGCTCTTCCCCCTTGATAGTCCTTTGATGGTCCTAGGGTCCTCTGTTCCTGAAATGAAAGATTAACTACTTCCCCCTTTTAGTTACACATCTTCTACATTCACAGTTATGACAATCACAATTAGTACTGATAACAAGCACTCACAATTGATCATAAAGTCCTCTCCCCATTATTCCCCATCCCCTTTCATCAGACCCATCTAGACAAGAGGAAAACTATTCAGTGGGGATTCTACCTACGCCACCTTATTCTGGAATTTGATTTTGTTTTCTTGATCTTCCTATTGTTGATTTCTAATT